CGTCCTACCTGACCATGCCGCTGTCCTTCAGCGAGGACGGCTCGGTGCCGTTGACCATCGGCTCGGTTTTCTTGTCTGACGGTTTGTCTCCCGCGTCTCCGGCAAGACCGAGCAGCGCCCTCACCCTCTGAGACTTCACATCCAGGATGGTGTCCGTGTATCCGACCTCCTGTAGGTACCTGAGCCGGAGACAGGACACGAGGTCAGCGAGAGCTTCTGAGGGAGCGACGGCAGCCACGAGCTGGCTGATCTCAGCTGATCTGTACGAGACGACCAACAGCTAAAACAGCTGAACGGTAGCTGAACCCAAACTCCTGCTGTAGACGGAGAGGCTACGGTAACGTTTATCTGAGTTATGAAAGGTGACAGTAACAGCGCGAACACGTCCAGACGTCCGTATTTTAAGCCTTAATTAAACTTGAACATCAGGCTGCAAACATGTTTATTTCTTAAAGATTTAACACGAGAGCCTGCAGGGACTGACTCACTGCTGCCTCTGGTGGACGTCAGAGGAACTGCAGCTTTGTTACCCTGCAGCCTCATCTCTTAAAGAAACACTGCAGGTGCAAACAGATGTACCACAGCTGGAGGTCTGTGAGAAGGGGTCGAGGGTCATCCCACCTCACCTGTAGCTGCAGGACTGCAGGTTGGACTAACCAACCAGCTCGTCAAGAAGATTAGGAGTGAAAAAGTCCTGATCTTTAGAGGACTCCTGAATGCAGAGTGTCCTCCTGCAGCAGCCTCGCTGTTCCCACTGACCACAATTACATGAACAGAGCAGCTTCTTTAAAGGGCAGCAGCAGTTTCCAACACCAGGCCGACTCTGAGAGCGCGTCAGGCTGTGCGAGCATACAAACAGGAAGAAAACACCTGACTGTGCTCGAGCAGCTGCTGATTTTATTTATTTGTCCGATTTCAAAGCTGCGTCTGCTGCAGGAGGAGAAAGGATGTTAGTCGAGTTCCAGCCTGTTCTGGAGGACTTTAGAGTCTCTTAAGAAAGACGCTGCCTGCGGTGGGAGCAAACCTCTTTGTACTTACTGAGTCCGAACTGAACAAACTCGGGCGAAGCTCCTCTGAACTCAAAAAGTTCCAGTTTAAATCTCCGTACTGTACCGAGCCTCGACCCCGCTGACCCGAGCGCAGCGCTGTGGTCCAGCCTGAATAACGCCCAGTGTGTTTCTCACACGGTTCAGCCGCCCTCCCTCCCGTCTGTACCAGCCTCTCCGATCGCAGCACGTCTTGATGCCTCACACAATCCTCCATTCACTGTCACCACAAACACTCACACAGACACACACAGAGCT